CCCCTGACTGTAGCCTCACTGGGAGTGAGGGATGGGGCTGCCTCCTTGCCCAGTATGGGGCAGGAACGGTGACTCGGGGTGGGGGGGTCCCCTGTACTGCTGGAGGGTCCCATTGGAAAAGGGAAGAGTCAGAGAGGGAAGGGCAGTCTCAGAGTCAGTCTGCCCTGGCAGTGGAGATGGGGGGCACTAGGACCCTGCGGCAGCAGTTGCTACCCGGAGGCAGCACAGGGAAGAGACAGGGACACTGCCCCAGGGGGGCCAGTGAAAGGCAAGGGTGGGGGCGAGGGCAGCAAGTCGGGGCCAGGGGACACTTGGGGAAGGCGTGGGGGAGGGCTGCAGGTGGGGGAGGGTATTGGGGGGGGACACCCAGCCCCAAGTATTGCTGGAGCTGGGCTCCTGGCTCTGAATATTGCTGGTGCCTGAGCACCACCTGGATATGGAACTCGCCGCCTATGCCAACAGACCCTGATCATCGGGGAGCAGGATTGAACCTCTGGAGCTTAGTGCATGAGCCTCTACTGCATGAGCTAAAAGCCAACTGGCTGTTAGCTAAGGGTGTAGAGCAGATTCATTTTATATCTCTCTCTTTAAGTGGTTTCAGTGCCACTAGATGGGACAGAACACCACACCCAGAAGGTGTGGGGGTTACACAAGCGCTCCTGCATCAGAGGGAAGAATGCTTTTGTTGCTAATGTAGTGGTTTGGGACACCAGAGACGTGACTTCAGTTCCAGCTCTTCCTATGAGACCTTACATAACTCAATTCCCCATCTGTAAAATCTTTCTCCCCACCCTTTTCTGTTTCGACTGCAAGCACTTTGGGGCAGGGATTCTGTACAATGCCTAAAGTAATGGGGCCTCAACTTCTGCTGTGATTTCTAGTCACTAATATAATACAAAAACCATTGTCAATGATGGTGAATCTTATGAGTAAAGGCCCTTGAAAAGTCATGTTGCCCTGCTCTCCAATAATGGTTTGCCATGGTCACCCTAAATAGAGCACTTTGACAAGGTCCAAATCTAAAAGGTTTGTGACTTCTTAGCACTTTACAGATTTAAAAAGCCACTCCTGGGCTTCCATGTATATCACAATGCTGCCTTGTGATAGCAATGGAGCACCATCACAGTTGCTAGAGTGGAGGGCCCAGCAGCAAAGTGAAGATGAAGGTGACTTTTCCAAGGTGCTTTACGTGACTTAGGAGCCCAAGTCCTATTAAAAGACAGACTCTCAATT